AGCCGGACACGGGAGGACAGTGGAGAAGTGAGACAGGACAGGACCCCCAGAGGGGTCAGCAAGGGAGACCGCAACCGGCCGGCCGAGCGGCGTAAGGGTAGTGCGGTCTCGAAAGAAGGAGCGAGAAGCCCCGGAGTCAAGTGTGAAAGTGAGGGAGGACGAGGACGACGCAGTACCTGAGAGCGCAGTCTCACCAGTACCTGAGAGCACAGACGCACTGGCACCTAGAGCAGCAGCCTCACAAGCACCTAGCGCAGCAGTACCAATGCCCGGGTCGGGCTGGAAACACCGGTAACCCTCATTCTCCTCACTATAATCCACAGCATACATAGCAGCAAGGATAGCATCAAAATCAAGATCAAAGATCGCTACACCAGCCCTTAGAAGCTCATCCCAGCGAGGGATCTCACTAGCCCCAGGGAACTGCTGACGCCAAGCGTCCGTCAGGCGGCCAAAGCAGCGCTGGGTGGCGTGGGCACCCCCACACTGCTCACCCGCGCGGTCGCCGGAACGAAGAACGTAGGTGCAGGGACCAGTACCCCCACCCCTCTGACGCCCAGCGTACCACTCACGAAGCTGCTGAGGCGGAGGGATGTCCCGCGAGCGCTGCTGCTGCTGCCGCTGCGAGCGCTGGCCACCACCACCGCCGCTACGCTGCTGGGTACCACCCCGACCAGCTCCACCTCCTCCACCACCACCGCCTCCTCCGCTGCCGCCTCCACCGCCTCCACCTCCGCCGCCTCCACCTCCGCCGCTGCCTCCACCACCACCGCTGGCACCACCACCACCGTCTCCGCCGCTGCTGCCACCACCACCACCACCCCCGCCACTAGTCCCGCCGCCACCCCCACTCCCTCCGCTGCCACCGCCGCCACCGCCACCGCCCCCTCCAGCTCCACCCGCGCCCTTGCCCCCCTTGCCCTTGCTGGAGCGACGTCTCCCACTAGGGGTAGACGCCGCGCCGACCGACTCAAGACCAAGCAGGTCGGCAGCAGCAGCAGAGGCAACAGAGGGCAGCAAGGGGGAAGGAGAGCACCCCTCAAAGATGGGGGTGCGAGGGTCACCACGAGAAGCACCTACAGCGACTATGCTCTTCTCCGCTGCGAGGAGGGCCTTCTCGAGGAGGTCGACGGTGAGGGTGGTGGGACAGACTGCGAGAAAGTGGTCCCTGACGACTCGAAGGGAGTCAGGGAGGCGCGCGACTACGTAGTAGAGAGCGATGTACATGGGGGGTGGGTTCTTAGCGCAGAACTCAGCAGGAAGGGCGGCGCGGTAGCGAGTGTCACTAGTGCGGAGGTGCGTAATGAGGTCAGCAACAGTGGGAAAGGCAGAGAGGTCAGGAAAGAGGTAGGGAAGCATGAGACGGCTCAGTGCAGCAGTGGCAGGGGAGGAGTAGCGCGCAACTACAGCGTCGTACAAGGTCTGAGCACTCTTGTACTGACTAAAGTGCGCACGCTCAGAGGTAGGGAGGTGGCGACGCACAGCAAGACGTGCAGCAGCATCGCGGGTGGCCCACTGAGAGCGGACAGTGGGATCAGCATCAGCAGCAGGAGCAGGAGAGGCGCCAGAGGTGAGGTCAAAGAGAGAAAGGTCGTCAGCCCTGTCGCACTGTAAGAACAGCTGCAGGTCGTCTAACCAGACCTCAAAATCAATGGCGCGACCCTCAGCGTCAAAAGCTAGGACACTAGGGGTAGCCATGGCGACGACAGCGACGCAGTGCAAGCAGTAGGGAAAGAGCTCGCAGTGTCAGTGGGACTGTGCTCACCAGGCAGGGCAGGTCGTGCAGCTCTGCAGAAAGGCGGCTCAGCGACCGGGCGGCTCGGGTGCACAGCGGCTCGGCTCCCGGGCGGCTCGGCGGCTCGGCGGCTCGGGCGCAGGGCGGCTCGGCTCCCGGGCGGCTCCGCGGCAGGGCGGCTCGGGTGCAGGGCGGCTCGGCTCCCGGGCGGCTCGGCGGCAGGGCGGCTCGGGTCCCGGGCGGCTCGGCGTTGGGCGGCTCGGCTCCCGGGCGGTGCAGGGGCGGGGCCGTCAGGTGCAGCGGCGGGTCGACCGGTGCAGCGGCGGGCCGGCAGGTGCAGCGGCGGGGCCGTAGGGTGCAGCGGCGGGCCGACCAGGTGAGGCGGCGGGCCGTAGGGTGCAGCGGCGGGCCGTAGGGTGCAGCGGCGGGCCGGCAGGTGCAGCGGCGGGGCCGTCAGGTGAAGCGGCGGGCCGCTGGGTGCAGCGGCGGGCCGGCAGGTGCAGCGGCGGGCCGGCAGGTGCAGCGGCGGGGCCGTCAGGTGAGGCGGCGGGCCGTAGGGTGCAGCGGCGGGCCGTAGGGTGCAGCGGCGGGCCGGCAGGGCCGCGTCAGAGCCGGCGGCGGGGCCGCGTCAGTGGAGGCGGCGGGGCCGCGTCAAGCAGGCGGCGGGGCCGCGACGAAGCGGGCGGCAGGGCCGCGTCAGAGCAGGCGGCGGGGGCCGCGTCAGTGGAGGCGGCGGGGCCGCGTCAAGCAGGCGGCGGGGCCGCGATCAGGAGAGGTGGCGGGGCCGCGTCTGAGGGACAGCGGGGCCGCGAGGGAAATGGCGACCCGAGGGGTCGCTAAAAAAAAAAGGCGCGCCTCGGGGCGCGCTTCGGTGGGCCCTAAAAAAAACGGTCCTAAGGAAGGACCCGCTCTATACCATGTGAAACAAGTGAACAGGAATGAGAATGACTAAGTCAGAGTTGGGTACAAATATAACCCTAGAAAGCTGTACCCCATATGTGCTACCCCACTATAGCCTACAAACATGCATCAGCTATAATACTCTGACATCAGTGCCAACGAGGTCGACAGCAGTTGCAGAGGCAACAGAGGGCAAGAGGGGGACAGGGGAGCACCCCTCAAAGAAAGGGGCACGAGGGTCACCACGAGAGGCTCCTACAGCGACTATACTCTTCTCAACTGCAAGGAGGCGCTCCTCGAGGAGGTCAACAGTGAGCGTGGTGGGGCAAAGGGAGAGGAAGTGGTCCTTGACTGAACGAAGGGAGTCAGGGAGCCGGGTGACGAGGTAATAGAGGGTGATGTACTTTGGGAGGGGGTTCTTGGCGCAGAACTCGGTAGGAAGCGCAGCGCGGTAGCGGGTGTCACTGGTGCGGAGGTGGGTAATGAGGTCAGCGACTGTGGCAAAAGCGGCGAGGTCAGGGAACAGGTACGGCGGCATGAGGCGGCTGAGAGCAGCAGTGGCAGGGGAGGAGTAGCGCGCAACAACAGCGTCATATAGAGTCTTAGCACGCTCGTACTGGCTAAAGTGCGTGTGCTCAGCAGACGGCAGGTGACTACGAACAGCAAGACGAGCTGCAGGATCATGCGTGGTCCACTGCGAGCGAACTGCACTGTCAGCATTGGCAGCAGGTGCGACAGAGACGCCGGACGTGTGATCGAATAGTGAGACTCCGTCCCTAGAGTCGCACTGCAGAAAAAGCTACAGATCATCGACCCAGACCTCGAAATCGACTGCTCGACCCTCAGCATCAAAGGTAAGTACATTAGGGCTAGCCATGGCGGCAGTAGCAATAGCAGTAGCAGCAGTAGCAATAGCAGTAGAGGCAGCGCGGCTCAGTAGGGCAGGGCAGCGCGGCTCGGCAGAGCGGTGCGGCTTTGCTCGGCTGGGCGGCTAAGCTCGGCTGGGAAGCGCGGCTCGGCTGCGCGGCTCGGCTCAGCTGGGCGGCACGGCTCGGCTGCGCGCTTGTCGGGCAGGAGCGCGGGCAGCGCAGCTAGGGGAGGTGCTCACCAGAGGCGGATAGGGCAGGCGCCTGACGGGCGGGCAGGGCAGGGCTGCGACGGCGGCTGTAGGCAGGGCCGCAACTGCGGCTGGAGGCAGGGCCGCGACTGCGGCTGTAGGCAGGGCCGCGACTGCGGCTGTAGGAAGGGCCGCAACTGCGGCTGGAGGCAGGGCCGCGACTGCGGCTGCAGGAAGGGCCGCGGTAGCGGGAGGCAGGGCCACGACTGCGACAGGACAGGGCCGCGACGGCGACAGGCAGGGCCGCGACTGCGGCAGGGTAGGGCCGCGACGGCGGCCGGCAGGGCCGCGACGGCGGGAGGCAGGGCCGCGACGGCGGTTGCAGGGCAGGGCCGCGACAGCGGCAGGGCAGGGCCGCGACCGCTTCAGGCAGGGCCGCGACGACAGGGTAGGCTCACGGGGCGCAGGTGAGGCAGGCTCGAGGCGCGCGACAGGGCAGGCAGGCACGGGAGCGCGCTTCGGGCAGGGCAGGAAAAAAAAATAGTGGTGGGCCCTAAAACAACGGTCCCACTAGGGAACCTGCTCTATACTATGTGAGAAAAGTACGAGTGAATGGAATGGACTAGGAAACAGGTGGGTACAAGTAGTGAACCTAAAAGTGTTGTACCCCATATGATCTACCCCACTACATCCTACACAGACTAAAGCATATAAGTTTGACACTTACTGCGCTCGCGCTTTAGTGAGTACCGTTTCCGAGGGCCACGCGTTAGATGGTTCGACCTACAATTTCGCTCCAAACCACCCCTGAGTTGCCCTCGCACCCTCCGCCATCCTTCCTAGCCATCTTCGCCCAGCGTCCCCGCCCAGCTAGGATTCTCCCTATTTAATTCCATTAATTTTCATTGGATCGTCAGTCTTTCCAATCACAATCTCGTTTAATTTGAGCACTCTTTAGTTCATTCATAACGTTAATTGAATATGTTATTGGCGTCGTCATCCATCAGCTCTTATCAGATAGTGCCAAAAGAATGCGATTCTCATGTTGATCCCATCACGAATGCACGTCCACCCACTAGCGCACTTTCTCGCCAACCACCGCTTGAATCAAACCACTCCCCTCTACCGTCTGTTAGTGCCTGTTCCCCTCGGCTTCACGAAACGTTGACGGCTCGCGATGATCGCAGTCCGTCCGTTTTACCTTCTAGCGTCAGCTTTCAGAAATATCAGCTTGCAGCAATACTCAAACGCGGCACTGGAAACACTGTGCTACACTATTCATGACAAATTCAAATCCTAACCACCGAGATGTCCAAGTTATTCCCACTCTCGTCAAGTATCCGCAGTTTCCAAGGATTGAACGGAACAAGCGACGGGCAGCAACGAGAAGCAAAAACGTATTTTTGCAGCTTGATTATTTTCCCCCCCACTTCCACGACTTCCGCGCTGGGCGGCATCACTTGCAGTTCTTCTGCCTCTTCGTTCATTCCTTCTCTTTCCTTCCCTCTTCCCACCTCCCCCTCCCAACTCCCAGTTTTCCACCTCCCTAGTTTTCGTCTCGAATACCACTATGTTTAGCTGTTTGTTTCGTTTCTTCACCAGCAATTCTAGGGTTCCGTTGATTGAGGCATAATTATACTTGACTGCAACTTTAACTCGCCAGTTAAGGCGGAAGGTTCACAGGCTGTCAGTGTATTCTAGTATCTATCGTAAATAAACGCTGGCACCATATATGTTCGCGCGCAGTCCAGTGTGCGACTCGTCCTTGGTTCATGTGAAAACGAACCGATTATTTGTGAAAACGTACCGATTTTCATATGTATTTTCTTCCGTCAATTTGTTGTCGCGAGCACATGTTGAGGAACGCAGCGATGTCTTTTGGGCGTATCACGAGTCTGACGATTAACGGAGCGCCATGGTTTGGATGGAGCTTTCGCCTGGCTTGGACTTTCCCGTTCTAAGGGAGTCGACTTAGGTATGAGCTTATGCGAGTAACTTCTGCGTTGCCAGCTTGCGCGAGAATAACGCCGTAATTAGCGTTTGAAATCTGAATTGTGAGCGTCGTGTTTGGAAGTGAGTATCTTGTGCCATGGTTGGGATTGAAACACTTACAATCCAAGAACGTGATTGCCAACGTCTCACCACGTTCCCGTCTTGAAGCCTCCGTGCTGTATTCGGTCACAACCATTTGCACCCCGTTGCACCGCGTCGTACCACCCAAGTGCCAGTTCAGCACTCTCAACCACGCTGTTCGAAGCTTTATGATTCCGGCCGTCTCACTCGCTTGTAACCGCTTTCGTTCTTTCTTTAGAAGCGCTAATTCCGTTGGGTCATCAGCCATTTTAGTGTTCTTACTTTCTTCCCCCTTCCCTCCTCCACCCCTCCGTTCCTCCTCCCCCCTTTTCTCCCTCCCCAATCCCCCTCTTCCCCTTCCGCCTCCCCTCCCCCCTCGCTCACAGCTTCCGTTCACGCCTTTCACACTTATCTTCCTCACGTTACATTTGCCCCTTTCTTCCATAATCCGACCTTCCCGCTCCCCTCCTCCCCTCTCCCGCCGATTCCCCAATTTCCTTCCCACGCGCAACCTTCCCCCCCGCATGCGCTTCCCAGTGCGTCGTCCGCCTACCCCAGCATGAGCCGCCATTATACCGCCACCCGCACCTCGAGCGGGGGAGCCGTCCGCGAGCGCTCCTCTCCGCCATTGCGCCCTTCCGCCTCCCCCCCTTCCGCGCACGCGCTAGACTTCAAGCTCCCCCCCGCAGCAGGGGAAAATGGCGCAGTGTGGGATGGCGGAAGCAGTGGCGGAGGGGCAAGAAGCGCGCCGAGCAGAAGAGGGGTTCTGTCCGGCATGGGCGAGCCTCCCCCTCCGCCCGTAGGCTCTTTCTCCTCCCCCTCCCCCGCCCGCCATCCCCGCTCCACTAACCTGCACCCCCCGAAAGGCGCCAACTCCGCAAGTCAGCGCATGCCCCGTTCCGCCTCCGACGCCCAATCCCCCACCCGCCGCGCTTCCGCCGCGGGTGGCGGCGCTAGGAAAGGGGCGGAGTCCCCTAGATCTTCCTTGGGAAGAGAGGAGGAGTTCGCGGTTCTTATGGCTGTAGACTCTCCCTCCGGTGCTTCTGACTCGACTCTCCCGTTATCTGCTGCGCGGACGCATAGTGCGGGAGTAATGGCGGCAGGAGGGAGAGCGCCCGGGGCTTATTTGCGTAGTAGCTCGTTCGCGCTAATTGCGGGAGGCGCGGAGAGAGTTGCAGCGGAGAGAATAGCGGAGAGAAGAGCAGCAGCAGCAGCAGCAGCAGCAGCCGCAGCCGCAGCCGCAGCAGAATCAAGCTATGGCGGTGGTGGTGGTGGTGTTGCTGGTAAGGGTGGTGGGGCAGGGGGTATACATGCTACGTTGTCGCGCTCTAATGAAGAGAGCGAAGGGGGTGGGAGCGATTTCGGAGGCGGAGGGAGGAGAGGAAACCAACAACAACAGCAGCAACAGCAGCAGCAGCAGCAGCTGGGGCTGGCGAGTATAGGCAGAAGCAGCAGCGCCGGGAGGAGCAATTACCTCCCTATACGGTCCCGTGGAGGGGAAGACAGAGGAGGGGAGGGAGGAGGGGAGGGAGGAGGGGGATCAGACGACCAGTTACATCGTCCATCCAGGACCTTCCGCCCCCACTCCCTCCTATCCCACTCTGATCTCTCAGACGCGTCTCTAGCTCACTCCGACTCCAATCTCTCCCGCTCCGCCCCGCGCACAGGCTCAGGTTCCGTCCCCGTTATAAGGTCCGGTAGCTTCTCCCGCCGGCCGCCGTCCGGTGCGTCTACCTCTTCCGCAGGCTCGTATGGGTCGTTTGGGTCGGCCGGAGAGGGATTGGGGGAGGAGAGGAGGCAAGGGAGGAGGTCGTTTGAGGAGAGAGGGGGGAGAGGAGGAGTGGGCGGGGTGGGGGGAATGGTAAGGGGAGGACCGGCGGAGGAGGAAGTGAGGGTGGTGGCGGGAGCAGCAGCGGCGGAGGGGCGGAGTAGCGAAAGCAGGGGCGCGTTTAGAAGAGGAGAGCCGTTGGATCAAGCTGTGCCTGATATCGCCTCGAGCAGGAACGGGCACGGGCATGGGCGCGGGAGAGGGGGAGGGGGAGGGAATGGGCGGGGAGGTAGAGGCGGGGACTTGCATGAAATGAATCATTTGCATGATCAGCGTTCGTTCCTGTACGGACGAGAAGGGGAGGAGGAGGAAGAAGGGGAAGAAGAGGAAGGGGAAGAGGGGGAGGAAGAGGACGAGGTGGAAGAGGAAGAGGAGGAAGAGGAGGAGGAAGAGGAGGGGAGGAGGAAGAGCCGAGAGGAAGAAAACAGAGGCGATTCCCGTCCCAGACACAGCAGCAGGCGGAGTGGAAACCTGCCCATCCCCACTCCTCCAACACACCCCTCCCCTCCGCCCCACGCAAACCCCAGAGCTCCCCCGAATCGACCTCTCACCCCGGAACCCCCTCCTAGACGCGCAATAAGACCTGATGTTCCTGAATCCGAATCGTTTTCCCCTGACTCGGGAGCATATGGCAGGGGCGAGAACAAGAGGGGTAGTTGGAGGCTCGCGGCGCTGAGGAGACCGGGTGGAGGGGGGTATAGTGGGGGCGGTGGTGGTGGGGTTAGTGGCGGTGGGGGGAGAGAGACGGATAGGGAGAGCGCTGGGAGTGTGCAGAGTGATCGGGAGAGAGAGGAGGAGAGATGGGAAGAGGGGGGGAAGAGGAGGGGTTATGGAGCAGAGGATAAAGGGGTGGATGGTGTGGTTAGTAACTGGAAGGGCGACAGAGGCAGTCAATCGATGAGAGAGAGTGGGGTTATTGTGGGGGTGGGAGTGGGGATGGGCGTAGGGCTGGGTGCGGGGGCCGGTCATGGAAAGTTTGGCGGTCGATCTGTTTCAGATGGAGATCAACGGACAGGGTTAGAGAGAGGGCAAGGGAGCCGGTTGAGTAGAGGAGGGAGTGCGGCTGGAGAGAGGGAAGGTAGTGGGTTATCATATGCTCAGTCTCCTGCCGCTGCTGGTGCTTCGACCGATCTTCATTATAATGATGCTGCTGCTGCTGCTGGTCATGTGATCAGACGAACAGGGTCCGGGGCAAGAAGCGTGCTCACTGCTGCAGCAGCAGCTGCTGCTGCTGCTGCTGCTGCTGTTCCTGAGACAGTGAGCTATAGTCTGGCGCAGGGAGGGTTAGGAGGGAGAGAGCGGCTAGGGTCAAGAGGGAAGGAGATGCTAGGCTCAGGGCGGATCAAACGGTTGGGTTCAGGGGAAAAGGATATGCTAGGGTCAGGGCGGGTTAGGATTGGTTCTGACGATGTTTTGGTGATTGAGGAAGGCGAGGGTAAGAGTGAGAGGCGAGAGCGGCGGGAGAGGGAGAAGAGGGATGGGGGAGAGGAGAGAGGGACGGGAGAAAGGCGAGAGAAGAAGGATGTACGTGGTGGGGAAGAGGGAGAGAGGGTAGAGAGGAGAGAGAAAGGGAGGGGAGATGGGGTTGGACGGAAGGGGGATGGGGAAGGGGAAGGGGGAAAGGCAGAGAGGGATGGTGGCGAGGAGAGGAGGGTGCATAGGACGCTTACAAGATATGAGGGGCATGAGAGGAATCTGGCGTCATGTGGGCGAACGTTCACTAAGTATGGAGGAGGGAAAGAGGAGAGAGAGGGGATGGGTGCAGCGGATGGGGTAGATAGAAGGGCAAGAAGGACTCTTACGACGTATGGGGGAGGTTTGGTGAAGAGTGGGAGCGAGAAGGAGAGAGCGAGGAGTGGGAGTGAGAAAGAGAGAAGTAAAGATGGAGGTAGTGGGAGAGAGAGGAAGAGTGGGAAGGAGGGAAGAAGTGAGACGGAGGGAGGGAGTGGGAAGGAGCGAGGGAGCAGGAAGGAAAGGAGTGGCTCCTTAGGAAGACGCAGCAGTGGAAAGGATGAGATGGTGGTGGGAGAAGGAACGGAGATCGGAGAGACGAGTTTTGATGCGTCTCAAAGATTGTCTTTAGGGAGACGCAGCAGTGGGAAGGATGGGATGATGGTGGTAGAGGGAGTGGAGATTGGAGAAGGAGAGAGGGAGAGATCGAAGGAGAGGGAGAAGGAAAGAGAGAAGGAGAGAGAGGGGGGGAGGGAGAGCAAGGAGAGGGAGCGGGAGCGGGAGCGGGAGAGGAGAAAGGAGAGAGAAGGGAGAGGTGAGCGGTCAGGAGAAAAGAGAGTGAGCCGGCAATCAAGCACAACTAGTGGGGCTGAGGTTAGCGATGGAGTGCTTAGAGATAAGGAGAAGAGTGGAGAGAGGGAGAAGAGGGAGAGGGACAAGGAGAGGGAAAAGGAGAAGGAGAGGGAGAAACGGAAAGAGAAGGACAGGGAGAGACGAAAAGAGAGGGAGAGGGAGAAGGAGAAGGAGAGGGAACGGGATAAAGGACTACCAAGAGAGGGATCGAGGGGATCCAGAGAAGGAAAGAGGGAGGGGAAAGGGGAGGGGGAAGGGGAAGGGTCGAAGCGTAGAAGTATGGAGAAGCACAAGAGTGCGGATCCTGAGAGAGAGGAGGGGAAGCGAGAGAGGAATGGGCTGGGTCGAGTGGATGAGGGGTGTGAAGCAGGGCTGGATCACACGTGGCCTAGGAAAGGGAGGAGTGTGGAGGGAGGGAGAGGGGCTGACGAGGGTGGTAATATGGCGGATGGAGGGGGATGGGGCTTGGGTATTGCAGAAGAGATGGCTGCAGCTGTATTGCTGGTTGACCGGGGAGAAGGGGAGGAATTAGCGAGGGTGGAGGGGAGGGAGGGAGACGAAAAGGGGAGTGAAGTGGAAGGTAGGGTGGAGAGAGAGGGACATAAGAGGCGAGAGGGGAGTAAGGAGAAGGATAGAGACAATGAGGAGAAGGAAAAGGAGAAGGAGAAAGAGAAAGAGAAAGAGAAGGAAGGTAGAGACAAGGACCGGCACAGGCACAGGCACAAGCACAGGCACAGGGAAAAGGGTAAGGATGGAGAGAGAGAAGAGGAGAAGGGCAAAGGGAAGGATCATGGGAAGGATGGAGAGGAGGAGCATACGAAGAGGCATGGGGATCGAGAAAGGGAGAGAGGGAAAGACAGGGAGAAGGCAAAGGAGAAGGAGAGGGAGAAGGAGAAGGAGAGTGAGAGGGATGGGGACGGGGAGAAGGAGGAGAAGCAACGGAGTAAGGAGAAGGAGAGAGAGCGGAGGAAGGAAGGTGAGAGGAGCAGGCACAGGGACAAGGAGAAGGGAAGGGAGAGGGAGGAGAGGCACCGTAGCCATAGAGACAAAGAGAGGGGGAGTGAGAGAGGGAGTCATAGGGGGAGTGGGAGAGGAGATGAGGGTCTGGTAGGTGGAGGATCAGGTGAGATTTCAGGTGAATTTTCAGGTGTGCAGATTGAGAGAGAGGAAAGTATTGCGAACAGTGCTGCTGGGCCGGCAACTCCTGGTAAGGATAAGCAGGAGCGCGAGGAAAGGAAGGAGAAAGAGGGGTCTAGGCATTCACATGGACATAGGGAGCGGGAGAAAGAGCGGGAGAAAGGAGACAGGTCGAGCCGGCATAGGCATAGAGATAAGGACAAGGATAAGGATAGGGATAAGGAGAAGGATAGGAAACGAGAGAAGGATGGAGGCAGGGAGAACGAAAGGGGGCGGGAGGAGAGGGAAAAGGAGAAGGGTCGGAGCAGTGGGGAAGAAAGACTGAGGGATACGATTGAGGAACTTGGGGATGGTGGTGATGGGGACAGAAGCATGGAAGAAAAGGACGCAGATAAGCAGTTGAAGGAACGAGAGAGAGGAGGCGAAAGAGACAAGGAGAAGGAGAGGAGGAGGGAGAGAATGAGGGAGAAGGAGAAGGAGAAGGAGGAGGGGAAGGAGAAGGAAGGGAGGGGTGTTCTGGAGAGAGATCAGAGCACTAGCAGCTCGAGAGGCAGACACAGGGACAAGGGCAAGGAGAATGAGAAGAGCAAGGAGCGGGAGAAAGACAAGGAGAGGAAGAAGGAGAAGGAAAGGGAGAGGGGCGGAGAGAAGGAGAAGGAGAAGGAGAAGGAGAAGGAGAAGGAGAAGGAGAAGGAGAAGGAGAAGGAGAAGGAGAAGGAGAAGGAGAAGAACAAGGAAAAGGGGTCGAAGGTGAGGGAGAGGCAGGGCAGTGGGAGGAGCATTGACAGTGGTATCAGCAGAAGTGAGTCTGGGGAGCATTCGAAGGTATCTCGCTCTTCCAGCCGCAGCAAGAGTGGTGGTAGGGAGAGGGAGTCAAGGCAGAGCAGTCTGGGCAGGGAGGAGAAGAGGGCTGTGAAGGAAGGGTTGGAATTGCAGGAGCAGGGGCAGCAGGAGTGGGAGCAGCAGCAGCAGCAGCAGCAGCAGCAGCAGCAGCAGCAGCAGCAGCAGCAGCAGCAGCAGGAGCAGGAACAGCAGCAGCGGGAGCAGCAGCAGCAGGAGCAGGAGCAGCAGGAGCGGGAGCAGGAGCAGCAGCAGCAGGAGGAGGAGGAGGAGCAGCAGCAGCAGCAGCAGTTGGGCCAGCAGGTAGGTGTAAGTGCAGTTGCTGCAGCTGATGCTTCGTTGACCGCGGAGGCTCTACCCGTGCTCGCTCGGGCTTCAAGCCGGGGGATCCAGGAGGGTATACGGGACACAGCCAGAGCATCAGCAGCAGCAGCAGTGCCAGGAAAAGCAGATGCATCTGCAGCAGTAGCAGGAGCAGCAGCAGATGCAGCAGCAGGAGGTGTTGCAGCAGCAGGTGTTGCAGCAGCCGTATCATCACGACCAGTTTCACCTGCTTTGGCAGCAACAGCAACAGCAGCAGCAGCAGCTGGAGCAGGGGCAGGAGGAGGAGGAGGAGTAGGAGTAGCGCCACTGGAGAGACCTAAGAGCCCTGGTCCCCGGGTGAGTCTGGAGCGCAGGGAGAGGAGGCGCGAGCGCAGCCGCTCCTGGATAGACGAGCTCCTGCCTGATTCCGTCACGTTTGAGGAAACTGGCTTGGCCGGGCCAGGCGGGATAGGTTCGGAGGGAGGTGTGGGACAGGGAGGGGGAGGGGCAGGTGGGGTGGACCCGTGTGGCTTGGACTTGCTTGCAGCTGCTGCTGCTGCCGGGACGGAGTTTGCGTTTCTGGTGGAGGGAAGCGGTGCGGGTGGTGGCTGTGTAGGGAGCGGTGGTGGGAGCGATGGGACTGGGGTGAGAGAGGGTGGTGATGGGGAAGCAGGGGCAAATGCAGCGAGAGGATTAGGAGCAGGGGCAGCCGCGGAATCAAAATTGGAGGTGCTAGATGTGAGGCAGCTCTCAAGGAAAATATCTGGGGGGCTTGGTGGGCTGCTGGCACGGGGGGCATCAGGGGAAGCGAGTGGCAGGAGCCGGCATGTGCGGCAAGGCAGCAACGGGCCGCTCTCACCACCCTCATTTGCTCGTTCTGATGCCACTGCTGGCCCCTCTGCTGTTTCTGCCGCCTCTGCTGCTTCTGCCTCTGCCGCTGCCTCTGCTGCTCTCTATGCTGCGCCCTCTGCTGCTGTGTCTGCTGCGTCCCTGCCTCCTTCCCACCCTGGTTTGATCTCCTCCGCGCAGTTGCTCCCTCCTCCCCTGCCACGTCCCTCATCCTCAGCTAGTCACCGGCGCCTGGGGTCGATCGGAGAGAGGGATGGAGAGGGAGAGGACGGAGGTGAGGGAGGGGAGGAAGAGAACGGGGAGGGAAGGCTGGGAAGGGCACGAGAGGGTATGGATAGTAGCATCGGGCTTCCCCGCAGCAGCAGTCGTGGCGGCAGCGGCGGTGGCAGCAGCGGTGGTTTGGGTGTGCGTAGAAATGCTGTTGCTGTTTCGGGGGCTGATGTTGGCGGTGCGACGGGGTTGTTGGGTCCGCGCTGGTTTGGCGTTGGCAGCAGTAGCAGCAGCAGCAGCAGTGGCGGCAGCAGCAGCAGCAGCACCGTTAACGGCATCAGCAGCAACAGTGGCAGCAGCGGCAGCGGCAGCAACAGCGGCAGTGGCAGCGGCAGTGGCACTGGCAGCGGTGCTGCTGCCGCTGTGTCACCCAATACCCAACCATCACAGCAAACCATCGCACAAATTTCTCATCTTGCAACCCTCTCACACCCAATGAAAGGAAGCAAGAATCAATATTTGCCCACTACAGTCATTACTCCCAGCTCTACCCCAGCTGATTCTTCCACCCCTCCTGCTACTGCTGCCGTTCCTCTCACTACCACTCTCAGCCCCACTGCACCAGACCGCACCCTCCTCCATTCATCCCCCCCACCTATCCGTGCCTCCTCGCCCTTCTTCCCGTCCTCTCGCTCCCTATCCTCCCGGGCAGTTCATCCCCATCCCCATCCTCATCCCCATCCCAACCCGCATCCGCATCCCTATCCCCGGTCCGATAACTCCCACCCACATCCTCCTGTTTCTCACATGCGGGCGTCGTCTGTAGGGTATGCACCTGACTCGGGGTATGCTCCCGAGCTGTCTCCTTGGGCTGGTGAGTATGGGCGGAGGAGTCAAAGGGAGCAGAGTGGTGGGGAGATTCGTGGGGGGCGGTATGCAGGCAGAGAGAGGTTTGCGAGTGAGAGATTTGCAGAGGAGGGATTTGTGGAGGAGGGATTTGCAGAGGAGATTGGAGAGCGAGGGTTTGTGAGGGAGAGGGGGTATAAGGAAGCAGGTGGGTTGAGACGGAGGGATGGGGAGAGACTCAGGGCGAGAGGGGGAATGGGGGCATGGGAAGGGCGTGGAAATGGGTGGGATGGGAGCGGAGATGAGTGGGCTGATGAGAGAGAGATTGGGGGAGGTGTGGTGAGAGGAGGCGTGAGAAGAGGTAGGATGGACGAGCGCGGGAGGAGGAATTTGGGTGTGAGGGGGTTCGGGGGGAGGGGGCGGATAGGGGGGAGCGAGAGATGGGAGGGCGAGGGAGAGGGGAGAGTGGGAGTGGGGAAGAGGGGAGGAGGGAGGAGGGATGGAGACAAGGGGGCGTGGGGTGGTGATGATGATGAGTCGGGATTTGAGCTGGAGAGACGCGATGGGCTTAGAGGCATGTCATTGAACCGATATGCAGTAGCAGAGGCTGAATGGGCGCATAGGGTAAGTGGCGATGAGGGAGAGATGGAGGAGGAGGCGGAGGAGGTGGAGGAGGGGGAGGAGGGGGAGGAGTTTGTGGGTATGGATGGGTACGGGGCAGGAGAGGGGGAGGTGATGGGGAGATATGGAACAGAGAGCGAGGTTTTCACAGTGTGTCGTGGTGATGATGATGCTGATGATGAGGGTGATGTGAGTGGGGAGATCAGTGGTGATGTTAGTGGTGATGTTGATGGCGAGGCGGGGGTGTTAGAGGAGCGAGGGGAGGAGGGAACAGTGGAGGGAAGGAGGGGAGTGAGGTTCAGGGAAGGAGAGGGGGAATATGGAACAGAAGATTTTGGATCGGAAGAGTATGGAGAGGCGAGTGAGTTTGGGTCATCACTGGATGAAGAACTAGAGGAGGAGATAGAAGAGGAGTTGGAGGAGTTGAGGAGACGCAGGGCTGAAGCGCAAAGGATACTCGAAGAGGGTGAAGAGGGTGGGGTGATTGGGCGAGGGGCGGAGGTGGAGGGGGAGGGGGAGGAGAGAGGGGCGGGTGTGAGGGGAGGGGTAGGGGAGGAGGGCAGAGAGGTGGGCAGAAGGGAACGTGGGGAGGGGGAGGAGGATGAGGAGGAGGGGGATGAGGAAGAGGAGGAGGAGGAGGATGAGGAGGAAGAGAGCGATTCTCTTCCAGACGAAATGATGTTTGTCCGGTCCCTTTCCACGCTCCGCCGCCCGGAAATCGGGCAGACATGCAGCTCTGTACGAGCCAGCAGGTATGCATATAGGGAGTTTGGTGTGATTGCCAAGGCTCGGGCAGAAGCGCAGGAGGGGAGGAGCCATTGGTCGTGGCTGTTTGCTAAGTATATGGACGAAGTTGTGCGGCTGTCAGTGGGTAGCAGTGCAGAGAAAGCGGAGGTGAGGAGGAGGAGAGAGAAGATGCTCAGGAGGAGATTGGCTGGGGGAGGAGGAAGCGAAGGGTGGGAGGGGAGTGAGGAGGATGGGGAGGAGGAGGAGGACGGAGATGACCCAAGGGCTCTGGTGTTTGGAGTGGGAGGGAACAGCAGAAGAGGCGGAGGAGGAGCAGGAGGAGGAGGAGAGGGTGGGAAGGGGGGGGGAGATGGAGCAGGAGGAACGGGAACAGGAGAGTCAGAGGAGATGAGCTCCCTAGACGTGTCTGACTGGCTGGATAGCGCTGTGCCGGTGGCTAGAATGGCTCACAGGAAATCCGCCCGAGACTGGTCGGTTGCTGCTGCTTTACGGGAGTTTGAAGGGGTGAAACGGAAGTTCCACAGCACGGCTTCTGAGGCGGAAAAGCTAGCCAGGGGGCAGGCGGAGAGGGTGCTTCCTACGGGCCTGGCTGTGTGGCTGAGGTACTGGCAGCAGTGGGGGGAGGATCGACCCGATTGGGCTGCGGAGATTGAAGGGATGAGAGTGGAGGAGGAGAGGTTGGGGATAGAGGAGGCGGTGGAGGAGGGGGATGAGGAGGAAGAGGAGGACGAGGAGGAGGATATGGAGGAGGGAGAGGGAGAGGGGGAGGGAGAGTTTGGGTTGAGGAGGGCGGGTGTGAGGCGTGGGGGGGGAGGGCGGGGGGGATGGATCGAGTAGAAGCTTGAGAAGGCATGGTACCCCTCCCCGTCCCCCGCTTTCTGTTTCCAGCCCCGGTGGTGCTTCTGCTTCTAGCTTCGCGGACCTGTCCCCTACGGCTGCTGCCGTGGCTGCTGCAGCAGCAGCTGCGCACGCAGCAGCAGCGGCAGGGTCGCCTGGAGGAGGCATGGTAGGGGGAGCAAGGGGGGGAGGAGGAGGGCCGGGTGGAGGAAGAGGGTTCGTATCCCCTTCAGCTTCAGCAGCAGCAGCAGCATCTCTCCCGTCTCCCAAGTATCCGGGATCGAGGTGGGGTCCCCAAGGGTCGCTGCAGCTAAGGCTAGCAACAGAGGCACTAGCAGGAGGGCATTTGCAAGCGGCTACGTGTCATCAAGACGAGGTGCTTCTGTTTGTGGGCCTGGCCGCTTCTATAGCATCCTGGCAACCTTCCACTGCAGCCATGTGTCTCCTTCATCTGTTGGATAGGCTGGCGTTTCTTGAGTCTGCTTCTGCTGCTGCGGCTGCTGCAGCGTCGGCAGCGGCTGCAGCCGCGGAAGCAGCAGCAGCGCGAGTGGCGGCAGGGGTTCCGAAGAGCGTATCTGCCGACGCTGCAGGTTTGGCAGCCAGGCCGGCTACGGCGGGTCCGAACGTGGTGCGATCAGCTTCGGCAACGTCGCTTGCTGCTGCGGCTGCGGGTATGGTCGCTGCTGCTGCAGCAGGTGTGGCAGCAGCAGCAGCGGCAGCAGGAGGCTCTTCCCCTCCTCCTTCTGGCCGGCCAGGCACTCCCCTGCTCCAAGCCACTCCTACTGTCGCACCCCCATCGCCCATTGCTCTCGCTCCTGCTCCTGCCCCTGCCCCTGCTCCTCCTCCTCCTGCTCCTGCGCCCGCTCCTGCTCCTGAAACTCCCACCTCGTTTTTCAGCTTTAGACGGCTCGCTCCTGGGTTTGGAAAGGCCTCCAACACATCAGGAGCGGGCGCAGCAGCAGGAGCAGCAGGGGCAGGTTCAGTAGGGGCAGGCAGCAGCAGCATGAGCAGTCCTGGAGCAAGCACCCCTACCTCCCCCACGCACTCGTCCTCGGTGTGGAATCCCTGGCGTGATGCTACTTCCTGGCGAGATACCTCTTCTGCTTCCTCCTCCTCCTTCTCCTCCTCCCCCTCTATCCCTCGCCCCTCCACTGCTGCTGCTGGGCCGGTTGGCTCGCACTCTCCCCTTGCCCCTCCTCCCCCGCTGTCCCCGATCCCCCCGTCCCCGGTGAGTTCGTTTTGGGGGGGACAACAGCAGCCACAGCAGCACCAGCAACAGCAGCAGCAGCAGCAGCAGCGGCCTGCAACCTCTGCTGGGTTTCGAATGGTTGTTCCTCCCGCTCCCATTGCCACCCCACAGCACAGCCCAGACCAGTTCCGTATGCACAACCCTGCCGCTGGTACTAACGCTGCTGGTGCTGCTGCTGGTGGTGCTGCGGGTGCTGGTGCTTACTCTGCTCCCACCTCCCCTACTGGACGCAACAGCAACGCAGCTGCCGGTCCCCCTCCCTCTCCTCACCCTCCTCCTGCCGCCCGCCACGCTCCACCACCCACTGTTCCTGGTCTTCCCGCCTGGTTAGACCTGCTTCCAGCCCCCCATCTCTCTGCGTGCCGTGTCTTTGTTAGTAGGTGTCTCAGGGCAGTGCTTACAGGGTGTTTTGACAGAGCAGGGCCTTTGGCGATTCGGGGCGCTGCTGTTGCGACGAAAGCTGCTGCTGCGGCGGCGGCGGCGGCAGCAGCGGGAGGGGCAGGGGCAAGTGGTGGGGGGCAAGGAGGAGGGCTTGGAAAAGAAGGGATGAAGGGGAAGAAGGAGAAGAAGAAGAAGAAGAAGAAGAGGAGGAAGAAGGAGAGGATGGGAAAGGGAGAGATGGTTGGGAAGGATGGACGGGGGGTAGGGTCTGGTGGTGCTGCTGGTGGTGCAATGGTTGGTATTTTTCATCTGGGTGGGGATGCCGATGCTGCTGCTGGTGGTGATGCAAGTGGAACTATCAGCAGCAACCACGTCAACAATGGCGGCAAGGAGGAGGAGGAGGAGTCGGATAACTCGGCTGGTCCTGAAGACTCGGACAGTGAGGATTGCGAGAACGAGGAGGAGGAGGATGAGGAAGAGGATGAGGAGGAAAAGGAGGAGGAGGAGGACAGCACTGACAGCCTTCCGCCCGTCTGGTCGCCCCCTCCGCTCTCCACTCTCGCCGAAACCACTCTCGCGGAGGGCATTGCACGCGCCAAGCACAGCAACCTAGCGGAGCGCTGCCAAGAAATCGATCGCCTGTACTACTCCTTCGACCTCGGGCCAGGCCTCCTCGCCTCAAACCTCTCAGCAGAAGCACGGGAGCTGAGGCACTTGCACCCGGAGGATATACTCGCTTTGGCGGCGCATCTAACACGAATGAGTTTGCACGAGCCAGCGTTTCACCTGGGGTTGCGGGCGGTCTCGTCGGGGAGGCTGACGGTGGTGCAGTTTAAACAGGTGCTGCGGATGGTGTTTGCGAGCGGGGGAACGGAGACGTTCAGCGCGAGATTCGCGCGCCTGGCTACAACGGTGAAAGCCGCGGCTCTCGCTCCTCCCGCCGCGGCTGCCGCGGCGACGGTTACCGCGGTAACCGCGGCGGTTGCGACGGCGGCAGGGGTGGATGTGGCGTTGCTGCCGCAGCCGCCGTCGCCCCCACCTGCTTCTGTCTACATCGGTATGTTTGCTGATGCGTTGCTGAGAGGTAAGGCGGCAAGGCGCCACCACCCGTGGGCGTATGAGGTGACTCTGAACTTCCTCCGGATGAACTTACGAGCTGCTGCTGTGGGCGTGCGTGCGGGACCGGGGGGTATGGGAGGCGCAGGAGGTGCAGCAGGGGCCGGAGGAGGAGCAGGAGGGGGGGATGGAGGGGGAGGGAGAGCGGCTCTTGAGACATTAGAACAGGAGCTGTTAGCTCAAGTGACGCTGAACAGGTGGCTGGGACGGGGGCTGTCGAACGCACTCTCAGGAGCAATGGTGCCGATAGAGCAAGGCGAGGAGAGGGCGATAGAGGTGATAGAGGAGATGGTTGCACCGCAGGCGGCTCTGGGATGGGGGGTGTGGCTGCGAGTGGGGCGGCTAGTGGAAGGGGAGAAGAAGAGGCTCCCGGTGCTTCTGGAGTCAATGCAAGTCAAATCGGTCATGCACACGTACAAGGTAGGCTGTTAGACGGTGGGCTGCTGGGTCAACCTTTTGAGCCTCAAAAGGCGAGAGAAAGAGGATTCCGGTGCTCCTGGAGTCAATGCAAGTCAAATCGGTCATGCACACGTACAAGGTAGGCTGTTAGACGGTGGGCTGCTGGGTCAACCTTTTGAGCCTCAAAAGGCGAGAGAAAGAGGATTCTGGTGCTCCTGGAGTCAATGCAAGTCAAATCGGTCATGCACACGTACAAGGTAGGCTGTTAGACGGTGGGCTGCTGGGTCAACCTTTTGAGCCTCAAAAGGCGAGAGAAAGAGGATTCCGGTGCTCCTGGAGTCAATGCAAGTCAAATCGGTCATGCACACGTACAAGGTAGGCTGTTAGACGGTGGGCTGCTGGGTCAACCTTTTGAGCCTCAAAAGGCGAGAGAAAGAGGATTCCGGGGCTCCTGGAGTCAATGCAAGTCAAATCGGTCATGCACACGTACAAGGTAGGCTGTTAGACGGTGGGCTGCTGGGTCAACCTTTTGAGCCTCAAAAGGCGAGAGAAAGAGGATTCCGGTGCTCCTGGAGTCAATGCAAGTCAAATCGGTCATGCACACGTACAAGGTAGGCTGTTAGACGGTGGGCTGCTGGGTCAACCTTTTGAGCCTCAAAAGGCGAGAGAAGATTCCGGTGCTCCTGGAGTCAATGCAAGTCAAATCGGTCATGCACACGTACAAGGTAGGCTGTTAGACGGTGGGCTGCTGGGTCAACCTTTTGAGCCTCAAAAGGCGAGAGAAAGAGGATTCCGGCGCTCCTGGAGTCAATGCAAGTCAAATCGGTCATGCACACGTATAAGGTGGGTGGGCTGCCGCTGCTGGGTCAAGGAATGGAAAGGAGGGCGAGGAGATGGTGTGACATGGGATGTAAGCCTTCCAACTGCTTCCCTCCCCTTGCATTGCCTTGACTCCAACCTACCTACCCCTGTGTGACTCGTGGTGTCCCATCTCTTTGCTGTTGTCCTTCCTGCCCCCTCCCCTTTCCCCTCCTCCCCCCTTCACCCTCCTCCCCCCTTTCCCCTCCTCCCCCCTTTCCCCACCCCCCTCCCCCCCACAGGGCATAGACGAGAATGGGGAGTCATCTGATTCACTCTCCCTCGCCGTCTTCGACTGGGGCGCCAGGGGTCTGTGCAAGCACCTGCCCCAGGACGACCCAGCAGCGGCGCTGCTGGAAGTGATCTACCCGCTTGACGAGGAGAGAGTGTCGCTCGTGCTCTCGCTGTCGGCTCGCATTGCTGCCACGCACGCGCACGGAGGGAAGTGGCCGGGCGTGGACTCGCCTGTGCTGGTGGCGCAGCTGCTGACTCTCGCTGAGCAATGTGAGTTGGGTGTTTGGTGGTGGTGGTGGTGCTGCTGCTGGTGGGGGTGCTTATGTGGAGTAGCAAGGGGGGCAAGTGGCCGGGCGTGGGCGCGGCGCACCTGTGCTGGTGGCGCAGCTGCTGACGCTAGTCGAGCAATGTGAGTTGGGTGGGTGGGTGGGTGGGCGCATGGACAGCAGGCAGATCTCACGTGCTGTGAACGAGTTTCACTTCTCTACCTCACCACTCCCCCCCCCCCCCTGCTACTCCCCTTCCCTCCCCCTCCCCACTCCCTTACCCCCCCTTCCCCCTCGTGGCACCAGGGCGCATGGACAGCCGGCAGATGTCGCGCGCTGTGAACGTGGCGTCGCTGCTGTGGGGGTGGGCGCTGCCCAAGCGACAGCAGCTGCTGCAGCAATGCGGGGTGAGAGACGATTTGAGGGAGTGGGGTGGGGGCGGTTTGTGGTGTGTGAGGCGATTTGAGGGAGTGGGGGTGACACGGGGGTGTTGTGTCGCTGCTGTGGGGCTGGGGGCTGCCTGTGAGGCAGCTGCTGCTGCTGCTACAGTGCCGGGTGGTGAGCGTGATAGTCAGTGTGGGATGAGATGAGAAGCATTGCATCCATGCTGTTGATGACATGAAACTCCCATTTCGTTCCGAACCAGCTCTCTACACCTCCCAACAACAACCCATTTTCCTCCACTTACCCTCTCCTTGCCTCCCCCCTCCTTCCCCTCTTGCTCCCCCCTTGCCCCTCCCCACTCCTTGTTGGTCTCTCCCGCTCTTGTACATCAGTCTGCGGACGAGGCAAGGGAGGTCATGGAGCGAAGTGCATCCTCCATATGGCGCTCTGTTGCTGCCTCCAGTGCTGCTGCCACCGGTACGCGTTGCTCTCTCTCTGCTCCTCACCTCCTGTTGACCTTTGAGTCGACTCAAAAGTGCCTCATTTATTTGGGGCACCTGAAAAGAGCGCAGTGCTTCCTCCATCTGGCGCTCTGCTTCTGCTCCTAGTGCTGCCACCGGTACGCGCTGCTCTGTCTCTGTCTCTGCTCGCCCACACCACACACACAGGCCTCGAGGCTTTCCACGCAACGAGTCGTTCGTTCGTCAGTAGGTTCGCCGGCGAAAGTTGAGAGCGAAACCGTGCTTTCGAATTCCATGCTGCGTTTTGAGTCGACTCAAAACACGCAACGAGTCGTTCGTTCATCAGTAGCGGTGAAAGTTCAGAGCGAAACCGTTCTTTAGAATTTCATGCTGCACTCACCGCAGGTTCTTGACACCTAAAAAATCAGCTTTCCACACAAGGTCATTGTTCTGGAGCGTTGAAACTACAACTGTGCTGCTGCTGCTGCTGCTGCCGCTGCACTGCACACCGTTACTTCCCCCCTTAATTATCGTCCTCTCTTTCTCTCTCTCTCTCTCTCTCTCTCTCTCTCTCTCTCTCTCTCTCTCTCTCTCTCTCTCTCTCTCTCTCTCTCTCTCTCTCTCTCTCTCTCTCTCTCTCTCTCTCTCTCTCCCCTTTGATCGCAGGTGGATCCTGCCGGCAATGAGGTTCCTTCTGAAGGCATCTTTTCTCTTCCCGCTGGCATCTTTTTTTTTGAAGCTAGACATTGCGGGAGCGGGCAGTGGAGTTCTCTTCCTGCTGAAGCTGCTTCTAGGCCACCTCAAAAGAAGGAGCAAGCTGGCGATGAGATTCGGCTCCCTCTGAAGCTCCGTTTGAGCTTCCCCTTTGAGGAGACTTCTAAGGAGGAGCGAGCGAGCGAGCCAGCAATGAGGTTCATTCATCAATCAGCAGCAGCACACCCGTCAACGCACGCACGGCCGTACCTGTTGCAACGCACGCACGGCCGTGCCTGAGGCAGATGATCCACCTTCCACCGGATCTTCCCGCCAAACCTCCTGCCAAATTCTCCTCTTAATCTCCATACTAAATCCCCGGACCAGATGTCCCTACCATCTACACCTCTCGCCATCCACCCATCAGTCCACACTCTCACCCCACAGTCCCACTCAACCACCATCCATACAGGGTGGCAAATCTGCCCTCTCTCCACGGCATCTTGAGTAACCTGCTGCTGCTGCTGCTGCTGCTGCTGACCTCCTTTTGAAGCAGTCAGAGCAGACACCATTTACGATCTCACCACCACCACCATCCACCATTCATCGTCCAATCAACCCGCACAAGATCTTAGGGAGCCAGACAGCCTGACAGCCAGACAGCCAGACAGCCAGACAGCCGGTTAGACAGCCAGCCAGACAGCCCTACGGTCTTCCCTTGTCCTTGTCCAAGTCCCTGAAGTCAAGCCAAGCCCAGGAATTCCCGTCCTCGAGTCCCCAGGTCCCCTCCCCCCTCTTTCAAATCCTCCTCTTCCTGCCCTATCCTCGCCCTCCTCCCAGGAAACCTCTCCATCGCTCTCCGTCCTGGATCCTCCACCTACTTGGAAGCTGGATCCTCCACCTACTTGGAAGCTGGATCCTCCACCTACTTGGAAGCTGGATCCTCCACCTACTTGGAAGCTGGATCCTCTCTGAGCCAGCCTTTCCCATCCTTCCTCTCCACTTATGGTTCCTTATTCCACGTCCCATCCTTCCTCTCCGCGTGGATTTAGTGTTTCGAGGCGCCTCAAAAGCTCCTCGCCCAGATACGCACTCGGCTCAGAGTTCCGCTTGCCGCCGCACTGTTTTGACGTTCGAGCAATCCCATGCGTGCCCGTCTAACCGCTGCTGACATCACCTTCTCTCCCCGTTGACATAGTTTGCTGACATCACCATCCGCGACTGCTGACATCACCATCCGCGTCTGCTGACATCACCATCCGCAGCCGCTGCTGACATCTCACCCTTTCCTGAGCACCCACCGTCCCGCACACTGACTGCTCAACTCAACTAACCTGACTGTTCATGTAGCTGGCTTTCTTACAGTAAGCTCCCGTCCAGTCTTTTTAAAGGAAGGGCACGGGTGGGGAGAGGAAAAGAAGGAAAGAAAGGGAGGAGGGGAAGGGGGAGAAGAGGTGAAGTTAGTAGATAGCTGACTGCGGTTTGGGCACTGTAGGTGCGATACAAAAAGCGGCTCTAGGTAGCAGCAGAGGGGAGGTTTAAAGAATCTCCTGGGAATTCGATAACGGGGGCAGCAGGCAGAAGCGGCATGAGCAGAGGAAGCGGGAGAGGAAGAAGGAGAGGGAGGGTCAAAAGATAGGATGAATGAGAGCCTTGATTAGCAGCGAGCCACCACCATCGGACCACCCCCCGGTACACTCCCCACCTCCTATCGTCGACTGAACACTGCTAAGAAGGTCTGTCTCCGCCCAAGTCCACAAGTTTCAGCTGCCAGCTAAGCAGTGCCAAGCCATCCTAATCAATCAACCCTCTGGGGCTACTACCGTACAACACCCTGCCCTCCCAAGGGGCAGCACCCAGTTTTGACCCAGTTGACTCTATTTGACTTTTCTACTGACCAAGAAGATTGACTGACTACCTGAGACGGCAAAAGTACCGCATCGTAGTTTCTCCGTCACACTTGTGTCGATAAGCTAGGTGCGATGGCAGCGCTGTTTCACCTTGTAGGTAGATGTGATGTGATGCTGCCTTAGATGTGCAACTAAATGCGTTGCCCGGGATTTATGATGGGCATTGGTAGTGGTGTACAGATATGATCTCTTCTGGTGATGTTACCGTATGCCCGGTACAATGTACCGTGATGTCAATACCGGTACCATATGACATGGGCAAAACCACCATATGACATCGGCAAAACCACCATATGACATGGGCAAAACCACCATATGACATGGGCAAAACCACCGTATGACAGGGGGAAAACCACCATATGACATGGGCAAAACCACCATAAGACATGGGCAAAACCACCATATGACATGGGCAAAACCACCATATGACATGGGCAAAACCACCATATGACATGGGCAAAACCACCATATGACCAGGGCCCAAAATTGGTTTTTGGCCACCCTGGGAAATCAGGGTCCGAACCGGGCTACCCTGACTGCTAGGGTAAAAAACAAAATACCCGGACAAATTCAGGGTAGATGATCGTTTAGTCTGTCTGTGGCAGGGTAAAATCTTTGGTGCCCCGAAAAAACTTCTGATTATATTTGATAAACGGAGTTTACATGCAGTTGTGTCTCAGATCTGCAGCTCTCATAGCTCAGTTGGTTAGAGCGTATGAAATTTTGATATCTCGTATCTCTCCGCCATCCATACCTAAACTAGCGCTATTCGCGCCGCTTTCCTCGCTAAGAACAAAATTCAACGGTCAAGATTCAGAACAGACTTTTGTTTTTGACTATCTTCAGCCTTCTCGTCAAATAGATATCTTTCTTACTACTACTCGACTAACTCAATTCTTATTCTCAACTTCGACCCTTACTATACTATTAAGATACTGAAACGCTACTTATTCTTCTTCGGCATCTCACGGTAATCCTTACTCTAATAGTAATATTCAGCCTTAGAGTTTTAGGACAGAATACAGCTCTCGATTTTTTATTACCACCTGACTCTAACTATTTCGAATTCCACGTTAATACCTACCTTTCTGAACTTCGACAATCTCTAGCCCTCCCTTCCACCTTAATCTCAACTACTTTATAACCTCGTAAGCTTTTCCGTTTCCAATTATCCTTCACCTGAGCTGCTTTTTCCTCGTCAATTCTTCACACTGCCCCATGGCATCCAACGCGTGCAACGAAAACCACCAGGATTCGCAAGACAAGGATGCTGATATAACCAAGGATCCAGTGGATAGGATAGAAGTCTGAGAGGAGACAATGAAGTCTCTGTAGTGACCTTGTTGAGTAATAATTGAAAGAGAACAAGATGATTGAAAGATAGGAGTACAAGAGATTAAATAGAAATCTAGCTAGCCATGTACTCTGAGGGGTACATTCCCTTATTAACTGTATTGCATAGCTACAGTAACCGTGACTATTGCTATCCTCGACAGTTACCATGTTGCAGTGAATTAACTGTCGCGCGGTTACTGGATTGTCAAGGGTCACGACCGTTGACTTCCTCAGACGGTTGACCTTCGGGTGACCCTCGACATTCCGCATGCTCTATATGAGCTATTGCGGTACTGGTACAGTGGAAAAGCTTCAGGAATGCTTTATATAACCTTTCGGTTATTCCAACACTCCCCTTCATTCCTGAAGGTGGGCCACGTGGTATTTCTTGGTGATCCCGCAGAGGTGGCGCAGCGTTGGTACTGCTGACGTGGCAGCTTCTTCGTCAAGAAATCAGCTGCCATGTCACCAGTCGGGCAGTACGTGAGCTTGACTTTCCCTTGTCGATTTCAACCTTCACGAAGAAGTAGCGAAGGGGGATGTGCTTGGTGCGGTTGACGAAGCAGAGTAACGTGAAGTGCCCGTTCATCGTCACTTTCGCTTCTTGCAGGAGCTCCACCAGGTACAGTCCTTCGCGAACAGCTGCGCTAGCTGCGATGAATTCTGTTTCTGCTGACGAGAGAGCGATAAGTTCCTGCTTCTGAGAGTTCCAGGAGATGAGTCCGGCAGGTTGGAGTTGAAAAATGAATCCTGTGCAGGAGCGTCTGTTGTGAACATCTCCAGCGTGGGCGGCATCTACGTAGCCATGGAGCTGCGGAGTAGCGGTGAGGTTAGCTTCGTTGGTGAGACCGACGTCGGGAGTGGAGATGAAGTACTGTAGTGCTCAGCGTAGATCCAGTAGATTCTCCCCTTCAGGTCGCTTCAGGTACTGTGCGAGCTGGCTTGCGACGTAGGAGAGATCAGGCCGGCACGTGACGGCGGCGAACAGGAGACATCCCAGCTGCTGCTGATAGAGACGATGGTTGTCGGGAGAGAGCGGTGTGGTGTCTGGCTCGTGGTTAGGAGGAGGAGTGCGATAAGGGGTAGTGAGATTGATTGGTGCGATGGAGAAGCGCTTCGCGAGTGTTTCGGCGTACTTGGCGGCGGAGAGGTGAATGGAGGAGGCGGACTGAGTCACATTGAGGCCGAGAAACTAGGTGACGTTGTGGTTGATTGTCACCTCCAGTTTCTCTTTGATGTCAGCCTCAAACTGGTCCAGCAGCTCTGTGTCGTCGCCGGTGTAGAGAAGATCGTCGACGTAGGCGACGAGGAGTACGAATTTCCTGCACGATTCCCGCCTGTACATTCCGAGGTCGTGCGGCAGGTGAGTGAAGCCGAGCTCAAGGAGGACGGAATGGAGGTACTGCTGCCATAGACGAGGCGCCTGCTTGATTCCGTAGAGGGATTTTTGGAGGAGGCACACGGCGCCGTCATTTTCTTCGAATGCGTGCGGCTGCTCGACGAAAATGATGGCATCGACGGGAGCGTAGAGGAAGGCGTTGCCGACGTCGATTTGCCGGAGCGGTTGCTGTTTGACGGCGGCGATGCAGATGAGAATGCTGTCAGAATATTATGCTCTAGCCTGTAGTGGGGTGCTCTATAGCGAGTACAACCCTTCTAGGGTTTGCTATTTGTATCCTCATTCTTGCTAGTGCAACCCTCTTCTCTCTTCTAAACTTTGACATGCTATCAGAGCAGGTCGATCCCCTTGGATCGATCCTGTGGGTGGGCTTACCACCTCCTTGCTTCCGCTGCAACTACTACCAGTACTCTCTGAGCCGCACGCCCCGTGGCGTGCGGCAGTTTTTCTTCCCGCCGTGCGCCCCGAGGCGCGCGACGGTTTTCTGCTCGCCGTGCGCCCCGAGGC